GCGGGCGCGGGGCGGGCCGGGAGCGGGCGGCGCGGCTCCGGGGCCGGGCGGCGGCGGCGGCATGGCGGAGAGCGAGGCCGAGACCCCCAGCACCCCGGGCGAGTTCGAGAGCAAGTACTTCGAGTTCCACGGCGTGCGGCTGCCGCCCTTCTGCCGCGGGAAGATGGAGGAGATCGCCAACTTCCCGGTGCGGCCCAGCGACGTGTGGATCGTCACCTACCCCAAGTCCGGTGAGCCCCGCGCAGACCCCGCCCGCCCGGCTCTGCGGCGCACCCGCACCAGGGGCTTCCCGTCGGGGGCTGGGAGGGCGGGGGGCCGGAACCCCACCGGGCGGGGTGGGGGTGGGGGTCGGCCGGCATTTTGGGGAAACCAAGGCCGGAGACCTTCCGAGGTGGGCCTGGCTCTCCACGGCTGGACGGCGTCCCCTGGGGATGGAGCCTGTTTGGCCGGAGCTGCCAGGAGGACAGGCCCAGGGCCGCCACCCCTCCCTGCATCCCCTCCCGTTACCCAGCTGGCTGTGTGACCTTGGACAGTCACTTAACCTCTCTGTTCCTGGACCCGGTTCAGCCTTTGATGAGTGCAAAGCCTTGGTGATCATTTGGGAAGGGGGTTAAAACGGGCATCAGGGCGTCCCTCATTTTCTGCGTGGGCACCGGGTGGGGGATGGGACCAGCCATGCTCAGAGTGCATGCCCGGTGTTCCCTTGTTTCAGGGCCGTCTCCATCACTCAGGTAGCGTCATGCAGGACCCAGGGCATTCATTTCCCAGCGTTAACTGACTTCATATTCATGATAATCGTGTAAGGTAGAGATGGTCATCTTCACTTTACAGTCTAGGCAGTGAGGCTCAGAGAGGGGCAGTGGTTTGTCTAAGGTCACACAGCTGATAACTGGCAGAGCTGGGATTTAAAGCCAGGCTGGTCTGCCCAGGACTTGATGTACGAGATCATCATGTGGTGTCTCTTCTGAGGTTTGTAGGGAAAAGAGGCCGCTTCCCTGTTCTTGGAACACACCTGAGGGTTTCCCTTGTTTCCACTGTGCTGGAGAAGGAGGGAGACACCTGAATCCAGACTGGGCAGTGTGTCTGCAGCTGGTCTAGAAGGTGGCCAGCCTGGAGGTCATGTTGGATCAGCAGCGGTGCAGCTTGCTGGAAGAGCTGTATGCCAGGCTCTCACAGCTGTTGCAGGGTCCCAGACACCTGAGTGGTAGGCCTGGTCTTCTGAGGAAGGTTGGGGACGGGGCCTCAGTGATGATGGGGTGGGGAATCGTGTTGGTGGGGGGGTGCTTGAAGAAGTCTGGAGGTGCTTCCAGGCTGTCCTTGGGAAGGGGGAAAGGGAGGAAATGCACACACGGCGCTTGCCATGGCCAGGGGCTTTCCTTCTGCTGCGGCCCCACAGCCCCATGGGTATGGGGGACTCAGCATTTTTTGGACTTTAGAGCCTTAGATATCATACAGCTGAAAGACCACCCCCAGCTGGGTGTGAGGCTGTACTTTGGACCCCACAGTAACAATGAGAGCAATAAAGACTAAAAATTATCTCATGTCATTTTAGGTCAGGGTTTGCCTGCAAATGAATTGTGAAAAACTTGATTTGGGCTGAGCTTTAGGATTTTTGGATTGCAGATGAGAGATTGTAGTTTGTGTACCTTCCTCCATTTTATGAAGTTAAGAAGCTGGTGGGGGAGGAGGCACAGACGAGGAGACTCACTTGGAAAGCTGTGTACTTGGGGCTTGTGGGGATGCTTTAGAGGGACTCTGCATTGGGGGCCTGGTTGGGTTCTGCAGGGACCTTACCGGGCACCTTGATGGGGAATGAAATGTTAGTTTAAGGAAGTTTTCTAGATGACCCAAACTCAAATCTTGTTTGTAACTTGCATCTTTTAAAGACAGATGAAGGCGCACCCTAAACTTTTTAAATAAGAAGAATAAACAGGGCTCTTTCCCTTGGTGACAGAAAACCCAGTGGTAGCCTTGAGACCTTTGTGCCTTTCGTGAGATCCCCGCACACACAGCCCTAGAGAGCCACTTCTTTAAAACTTAAAAAAAATTTCCAGCAGCCTTTATGGCCTTTCCAGGCTCTTACCAGTGCCTCTGAAGGCTTTCGTTCTCTCTGCCCCACTGTTTGTGAAGTTTGTTACCTGAAATGATCAAGGGGTGGAAAACTGGTCTCCAAAGTCTGCCGTGAAGATTTTTCTCTCAACCAGAGAAAAGGGCCCTGGAAGTCATTGCCAGTGGCCTCTGGCAGCAGAAGAGCTGGTTCCAGCAAGCCATTGCACTTGGGCGAGGCTGAGCCTTGGTTTCTTCTGCCATGAAATTTGCAGCTTAAATTGCGCAGTCGCTGAGGTGGCCCCAGCCCTTGGGTCTTGGGGGCCTTTTTCTTGAGCACAAGCCGGTTGCGGCTTGGGATGGACCCGAACACTTTAGGAATAGGTGAGCCGCCGCTTACGGAATCCCATAGGCCAAGTACTCTGCCACCCTTTGGAGCTGTGGTTTCCGCAGAGGCAGGGGAGACCACCTTACCACCTTGCTGGGCAGCTGTGAGGAAGAGCGGCATGATGCGTGAGCGCCCTCCTCATGCCAGATGCGTGGCAAGCACAAGAAAGGGTCCTGTTACTCATGCCGGCCCTCACTCCCCCGTTGTGCCCAGATGCTTTCCTAGGTGCTGGGCTGCAGAGAGCGGTCCCGTCTGCCGCCTGCCCTCGCTGAGCTCACCGCCTGCTGGGGTTCCGGTAGCAGCTGCAGGGTGTTGGTGCCAGGATCGGGACAAGTAGCCAGGAAACCAGGTCCGGGAGATCGGAATGACCTTGCAAGTGGTCAGAGCTGGAAGGGCTTGTAGAGCCCCGTGTCCTCTCCCCCCACCCCACTGGTGGGGAACAGGGGTTCACAGGGCCGGGGCATTTCTGGTGGTAATTAGATCCTGTTTTTTCCCTCAACACTCCACTACGCTCTAGAAGCGTTTCTGTGTTTCTGACATTTCAGCTCAGGTGACAGGTTAGGACTGTGCGCCCACTCCAGTAGCTCTGGCACATGTGGCTTTTTAAATTCAATGAGTCGAGATGAAATACAAGTAGAAATTCAGTTCTTCAGTAGCACTTGCCATGTCTCAGGTGCTCAGGAGCCACATGGAGCTTGTGGCTCTCATGTTGGACTGTAGGGATGTGGGAAACTTCCACCATGTCCGGAAGTTCTCTGGGATGACACCCGTTCAGACTGATCCAGATGCTGGGAGCGCACTGTGCCTTCTGGGGAGAACTGTTCTCTCTATCTCCGTCCTGGTTTATCATCATTCATTCTTACAGCCTCTTTGATCCCAAGGCGGTTATAGTGTTAAATCGACTCGTCTATGGAGACATCTTGCGACTGTCCGTGGTGGGTGATGGTGAGCACTGCTTTTGGCTTTGCCAACAGATTCCTGGTCCCCAAAGTCACTGAGCATCAGCTTTGGGATATGCTCCTTGGCTGGACCAGAGTCCCCGCCTCCTTGATATTATTTTCCTTTTGGTTCCAACCTGCCCTGAAAGGCATCCACGTTCTCCTGTCACTGATTAAGAGGGAAGAAGTGAATCACTGCTGAGGGGTGAGAGCACCTGGATCCTGGTTCTGGGCCTGTCCCTGGGTGACCTTGGTTTGCCCATGAAAAACGGGGGGATTGGATGTGATGGATTCATTTGAGTCTCAAATTTTAAGACAGCTTGGGGTGGGGAGGCTGGAGGGAGACCCTCAGGTCCCAGGCTAGGTGGATGACTTCCTTTCCTTTGTATGCACATGTCACCATGCCTAGGAGAGGTGGGTTGGGGAGTGTTGTGAATGTGGTGACACTCTCCTCAAGGAGCGGGTGGTGACATTAGGAAGCCAGGCTCCTGATGCTGAAAGCTAACTGACAGGGTCAGCTCAGGGGCCCAGGAAGGAGGATCACTGGAGGACTGCATGGAGGAAGTGGCCTGGGACCTTGAAGTGAGGCAGGGTGGGATTACCGATTTCAGCTCCATTCCCAGTGTCTGCCTCTTTTGAGCCTCAGAACAACCTTGTGTCCTTGTAATTGTTTCCTTTTTGTAGATCGATACAGGTCCAGTGAGGGGTGGGGGGGGGGGGAAGGGGTAGAACCAGCATCTGAGTTGTGCCGTTTTTACTTGTAGATGGTGGAGATGAACAAGCCCCGGGAAGAGTGGGAGAAGAGATGGGGGGATGGGCACTCTCATTTGCCCAGCACCTGTTCCGGGCTGGGTGTGTCCCAGGTGTTCACATATGGCATCTCATTTCATTTTCCCACCGCCCGGGGAGGAGGCTGTTCACGGCCTCAGTGCATGGACCAGGAAGCGGGCTGGGAGATGTTGAGGGACCTGCCCCCCACCGAGAGCTCACCTTTGTCCTGACAGCAACATGCACCCCCTGCCTCTCAGCCGTACCACACAGGGGCACTAGTGCTCTGGCACACGGCGGTTGGTGGCCCGTGTCCCGGAAGGGCAGGGGTTTGAAGAGTCTAACAGGAGGTCTCGTTCCGGGGTAGCGGTGCCCTTCATCTTTCCTTTTCCGCCTTCTGTTTCTGTCCTCCTTCCCCTGCTCCTTCGCTTTGCTCTTGTTCCGGCTCTCTGCACATAATCCAAGGGGTCTCCGGATCAGGGGAGAGGGTGGCACATCCAGGCTCCTGGGTTGGCGAGGGGGACCTCTCCCTTACCGCCACCTGCGCTTGGAAGAGAAAGCCTGAAGAACTGCCCCCCGGGTTCTGGAGAGCGAAAGGAGCAGGGGCCTCTGGGAGGAGTGTCTTTCTGACTCCAGGGGAGTGGGAGACTCCTAGTCCCCCGCGAGCTTCAGGGTCTTGCCCTGATTCCTCATTCCTCCTCGACAGGGACGACTTCTGCCTCTCCTCTGCTGACACACACACTTTGTGATTGGCGTCCACTTATTTGCCCCCTCCCTGCCCCCACTGACGGGGACCTGGGGCTCACAGGGCCGGGGGATTTCTCATGGTAAAAGCAGTAATTAGGTCCTGTTTTCTTCCTCCAACAGTCCACTACTGAGTATTTTCGCGTTTCTGACATTTTCGCTCAGGTGACAGGTTAGGACTGTGCGCCCACTCCAGTAGCTCTGGCCACGTGTGGCTTTTTAAATTCAATGAGATGAAATACAAGTGGAAATTCACTTCCTCAGTGGCACTCTCTGTGTCTCGGGTGCTCAGGAGCCACACGTGGCCTGTGGCTGTCCTATCGGACTGCACCTGGTAAGCTCTCAG